TGTGAATCTCTCGTCGTGTCAGTGAGCTTGCAACGGGAGCGACATAATTTGAAAATTGGAGAGGTCAGTGTCGGAAATCGGAGAGGAGGGTTCGTGGATAGCGAAGAAGACGGATAAAGAGATAGGAAAACAAGAGAGAAGAGAGGAGAGAGGAGAATTTCGACGCGTACTTCGTCCAAGAGAGAAACGACACACACACACACATTTATATATATATATAGAAAGAGAGAGCAACGGCTTCCACGTGGGAGATGCGTCGTGGCTCTATTTGCATGTCAATAAACACCTTCCAACGCGCATCCTCGAATGATTAACGCATTAATAAACAACCCTTAATAATAACATAACTACCCCTTATAATAATATAATATTAATAATAAACCCCCATTAATAAATGGCCCTTTTTTATTTTTACTAATTTGTCGAAAAAATGTTTGAATTTATTCGTCGATTAAAAAAAAGTTTTTTTTTTTTTTAATTATTATGTTTCATGTGGATACAAAATTATTATTAATAATTATAGTAATATGAATATATCTAACCGATAAGAAGACTATTTTAGAAACATTCAATGACGACAACGAAGATGATAATGATCATCAATTTATTATCGTTGTAAATGGATTCACAAGACGAGATAGAGATGTGTGTGTTTTTCCTCTTACTAGTAAAAAATAAAAAAAATAAAAAAAAAAGAAACAAGAAGTGTATGCCACGCAGTTATTGCTTATTCGATAATCATGCCCCATTATTATACTTGTTTCTCCGGCAATTTTGTTCGTATTTTCAACTGGCCAATAAATGGCCGGCTGCGTGAGCGAAAAGTTTCAAAGCACGATGAAGTAAATACGATGAACGGATCATCGAGTAAATGCTATATAGTTATTTTTTTATAATCATTACCATTATCATTATTATCATCATCTATTATTACCGAGAAATAAAAGAATAAAGACAAGAGTGTGAAATAGAGAGAGAGAGAGAGAGAGAGAGAGAGAGAGAGAGAGAAAAGAGAGAGAGATAATCATGGTACTCATTTTAACAGTTGCATAAATTAACGAACGACACCAATAGCTTGAACAAAATAAAATAAAATAAAAAATAAAACGTTTTCACCTTTTTCTAATATTTCTCCTAGAAGTTTCATTCGTCATTTATTTTTTTCTTCTTCTTCTCTTTCATTATCCCCCTTCACCCTTTTACGCCTCCTCTATCCCCAGCTCTAAAAGTTTGACAAGAATCGAAAAGGGCCAAAAAGCGTCCCGTTAGAAGGTGAATCGAATTCTGAGTTGACTCTTAAAATCATTCGTTTAATAATCCCCTCAAAGCGACGAGAGCCCTACTACAAACTGTACGCTCAACTCCATCCAAGAGGATTTCAAGAGTTCCCTCTTCTAGTCAAAAGGAAAGTCAATCATTTTTTTTTGTCTTTCTCTCTCTTATTATTTCTCTCTCTCTCTCTCTCTCTCTCTCTCTTAGAAAACTCGTCGCGAGGTCAACGTCTGTCGATATTGGGTTCTATGGAATCGAGGAAAGAAACCTGAAAGGACAAGAGAAAAAAAGAAAGGAAGAAAGAGAAAGAAAGAGAGAAAGATAATCGAAAGGTGCCAGGTCGAAAATACACGTCAGTCGGGTGAACGGTCGAGCAGAATCTTCGAATTGTCCGAGAGTCGCCGATCAGGCATCGGTCCAAAACCGGGCCCTCCTCCCCTCCTGCCTTCCTCCCATCTTCGTCGAAGTCCGACGAAGATACAACGACGACGACGACGACGACGACGATGATGACGCCGACGCCGACGCCAACACCGACGCCAAAACGCCAACGCCAAAACGCCAACGCCGACGCCGACGCCGGCATCCGACAACGCGAACGAATCGAGAAAGACGTAGGAGGATGGGGGCAGGAGAAAAAGTGAGGAACAGGGGGTGAGAGGGTGAACGACTAACTTGCACCACCCCACTCGTGTGTCGAATGCGTTCATCACTCGATGAACAGAATCTTCCTTTTCTCTTTCTCTTTTTATTTCTTTTTCTCTACCGATTGTGTACCAGACGCCATCTTCGATCTTCTCTCGTCTTTACGACGATCGTCCAATTATCGTGTATTTTTAGATCGCTCGATCCAAGCGCCTAAAGAGAATTTCGCCCTGTGAATTCCGAACGATTAATTCCTAACGCATACGCTAACTTAAACTATGTATATATATATATATATGTAGAAGACACACACACACCCCAACCAACCAACACATATGCAAGTAAATAAGTGTAAGTATTCTCTCTACTCGATGCTTTTTTATCGAACCCTGCTGCGATAACAACGATCGACATCTAACCAACACACACCCCCTACTACCCTTCTCCTCACCAAGCCCACTTTGTATTTCCCTTTTTTTTATTCTTCTGTCACTTTTTCGTTTTTTCTTTCTGTTTTCTCTTACGAAGACCAAGACGATTTCTATTTTGAAATAAACAAGTCAAAAGAGAAAGAAAGATAGATCGAATACACCAAGGGGAAAAGTTTTCTAATGCGTTTGATCTTTAGGAAGGTCAGTGACGCTTCCAAGTTCTTTTTTCGGCTAACAAAAAAAAAAGGAAATTTAAAAAAAGAAAGAGTTGAAAGAAAGAAGAAAAAGAAGAGGGGACAGATCTTTGCTGCTGCTGCTGCTGCTTCTGCTGATGTTGCTGATGCTGTTACTGCTTGATGTCGAACACGACTTGTCGATTTTCTTTCACCCAAGAGAAAGAGAAATTCGAAGAGAGAAACAGAACGTGACCATGCTATTCTCGTCGATCGTTAACAAGAAGACAACTCAAGACTAACAATAAATATAAGAAGAAAAAAAAGTTCAACAAATTATTCTACTCGCTTGAAAATGTTTTAGAAATACTTATGAAATTGTTTTATGGTCGTTTATAAATAAATAAAAATATATTTGTTATCCAATTGACAAATATCTCATACAATGTAGTAATATTAGGTTGACCCGAAAATTTTTGCCTTTTTTTGGAGATAAGTAAGCAACCCTTCGAGTGCTGAATTTATTTATTATATTAATTAACTAAAATGTTTTGTAGGAACGGAATAATTTATTATTAACCAGATTCTAATAAGAAATTATATTTAATAATTAAAGTTTTTATTTCTGAATATAATTTAATTAATTAATATAAGCATTACATTATTTTACATTTAGTAATTTTTACCAAACGCATATATGCGTCTATAACACTCTAAGGGTTAAACAATATTGCATATGTAATATACCTTTGCTTTGTATTTTACGTTATTTTACTAAATAATATCGATTCTACTCTAGTTTACTTTTTTCTATACTTTAAATAATTCAACCTAAAAAGTATTGTGTTCATATAATTACTAAAAAAAAAAAAGAAAAAACTTTTGGAAGAACCTAATATATGTTTTGTTTTTTTTTTATTGATGTTTTGATTTATCCTTCACAGTAGGAATAGGTTTGATGTGTCAACAGGTTTCAAGTTTCAAGTTAAGTATCTTTTTAACTTTATCATAATTTTTATTAAATTTAAACATACAATAGGACTTTCAAATTAAAATACAATTGAAAAGAAAAAGAATGCGTATGAATAATTAAAAAAATAAAAAGAAAAACATGAATCAAAGTTTCTCGTTCAAAGTATATTTCGATCTTCTTTCTTTTTCCCTTCGTCACCGCGTCGACACTTTCACCCCTAAAGTAATCTACTAAAAAATAAATAAGCTTAACTCTTTAAACCACCAAGTTTGCCGACGTTTCACCTTACGATCCTTCTAAACCATTATTTTCAACCATGCATCCTTAAACACCCACGAAATACCAATTCAACCTGATCAACGAAAGATTTCTCTGCTTCTAACCGCGAGAAACAAAAAGACAACGCACCCTTTGGGTAAACCCTTTTCACCGGTTTTATTTTTCTTTTTTTCTCTCCCTATTACGATGCTAACGGTTACATACACTGTGTCCAATTTTAATCAACCTATCGGAATAGTGATTGAAATCACTTAACAAACCGAAACAACAACAACTTTGCTAACAAACGAACGGATTTAAATATTACACCCCTTTAACTTTCGTGAACTCCGAAAGTCGGAGTGTAAAAGAGGGTAGATTCCACCCCTCATCATTCTCTTTCTCTTTTTCCTTACTATAGCGATAATTAAACAATTTACCGAGTCATTGGACCGCAAATGCGGCAGTTGCTTTTTCTCTTCGCACACTGGTCCCAAATCTTGAAAACGTTGCCAAAATATGAAGATAATTTAATCTTTTTGTTTTCTTTTCTTGTAAATTAGTATTCGAGGGTTTCTAAGATCACCAATTACGAATTCGATATTGGTCTTAAAAAAAGAAAAAGAAAAATAGATAGAAAATGAAATAAAAGAAAAATAGAGAATGTAGATCGTCGATACTTTTCGCATGATACCGAGAAACGATTCTAAGTCCGATCCAATATCATACACCTGCTAATAAGTGGACTCCTACGTTAGCATGGAACAGACAAAACAAGAAAAAGAGAGAGAGAAAGAGAAAGAAAAAGAAAAGATAGAGAGAAACTACCGCGAAACGATGCACCTGCAATACCGCAGATGCACCGCATAGTTTTATATATATATATATATATATATATAGTATATAGTATATTACCATCTTTCTCTTTGAACTTTCGATTGGGTCTTTGAGCAACCCTCTACAAGTAATAATAATAATAAAAAAAATAAAAACTATACACGATACTATAACAAGATGAGTCGAAGCAATTAGTTGATAATGGTTACTAAATTTTGTGTACACCATAAGTATAATTATAAGTTTTGAAGTTATAATTTATGAAAGAAGAAACTAGCTATTAAACCTATATAGAATCCCATATAGATCTACGGATATAGATAAGAAATATGATAATAATCTTTCGTTGTATCTAAATAAGTATATATAGTTGAACAAAAAAGTATATATATATAAAATAGATTTACTCACATTGTTGCTTGTGCCTGGACTCCATGAGGAGCCTTTGTTCGTTTTTGTGCCACGCGTCGAGAGCGTCGATAGTGTCGGTGCCTGCGATGCCCCTCGCACCTGCGGAGGGTGGTTGGACACCCCCACGTCCCACACCGCCCCCGCCACCGCCTCCATACTCCATGCCCGCGGCACCACCCTTCCCACCCTTTCACTTCTGCCCCCGGCAGTCCTCAAACGCTCACAACATGGGGCACGGGCTGCCCTCTCGATACCGCTCGACTGTTCTCCTTCCCCCTCCTCCCCCGCCCGCCGCCTCCTCCTCCACCTCCTCCTCCTCCTTTTCCTCCTCCTCCTTCTTCTTTTTTTTTACCCTTTACTCTATCTTTATCTCACCAGACACACAATCACAACAACAGTCACCACCAAGCACTTTGTTACCGACCACCGTATACGTACGTCAACTTYTTATTACTATTACTACTACTACTACTACTAACTACTACTACTACTATTCCTCTTCTTCCTCTTCTTCTTCTTCTTATTTTTTTTCTTTTCCCTTCTATGGTACCAGCAGGAATGAAAAATTCGTCAAGGTAAATTCCTATCTGTATGATATTTCCTTATCTTTGTTTCTACCTTTTTCTTAGATTCCTTTTTCTCTATGAGAAAAAATGAATCCTCGTTAAGAGAAAGAAACACGAATAATAGAAGAGCATCGAAAGGAAAAGGATTATTGTGTTGTAATTTTATTATATCGAGAGAAGAAGATTCTACTTCGTATTATTTGTTGTCCCTTTTCTCTTTTCTTTTTTTTTTTTTTTCGTCTTCTTCCCTTTTTTCTTTTCCTTTTTCTTTTCCTCCTTCTCCTAATTTTCTTCTTTTTCCTTTTCCTTTTTTGTTCCTCCACCTCCTCCTTCTCTTCCTCTTTTTCAGATAATTCGTTGAAGGATCATCGAACGTGTTCTTCTTCTTCTATTCCTCTTTGGCTTCTTCTTCTCCTTCTTCTTCTTTCCTTCCACGTGTTTATTATAACAACTGTTATTAACCCTATCACCACCACCCTCTCCTCCTTTTTCTTTATCATACGAAAAAATAGCTCTTATTTACACGCGCTCTCTCTTGCACACCTCCCCCCACGACTTTCTTCTTTCCTTCTTTCGGCTTTTTTTCTTCGAACTCTTGATTTCCGTTGTTTCTGTATTTTAATGTTATTTTATTCGTCAATTTAACTTTTCCACTTCAAACCCTTCTTCTTTCACACGCTAGTTTTGTTGTCTTGTTGTTTTTACTTTTTTTTTTTTTTGTTTACTTTCTCACATACGTTCTAACTACTATCTCTATCTTTCTCTCTCTCTCTCTTATTTCTTTTTGTACCACACAAATACACAATATCTATCTATCCTTTTATTTTCCTTTCTTTCTCTGATTCACTCTCTTCTCACTCTCACTTTTTTTTGTTTCACACGTTATCACCGAAAATTGTAAATATATTTGTTATTTATTTATTTATTTATTTATTTATTTATTTATTTATTCTTTGTATACGTGTGTTGAGATGTTTGTTGGTTTTATATGTGTGTTATATGCGTGCTTGTTTTTTGTAGTAGTATGTAATTTCGTGTGTGTCTCTTTCTCTCTCTCACTTTTTATTTTTTTCTTGCTTTCGTTTTTCTCTTCTCTTCTTTATATTCTTCGACTAATTCTACTAACGTGTTTTTTTTATTATTTATTATTTTTTTTTTTTAGGGTAATCCGTTGCGTTTTTATTTCTTTATTTTATTTCAATTATTATTATTATTATTATTATTATTATTATTATTATTATTATTATAATTATATTATTATTATTATTAATATTANTATTATTATAATTATATTATTATTATTATTAATATTATTAATATTATTATTATTATTATTATTATTATTATTATTATTATAATTATTATTATTATTATTATTATTATTATTATTATTATTACTTCTCAGATTTACACCCCAGAGGTTCAGCCTTTTCTCACAGTTTTCATTCGTCGGTGCATGCGTTGCGTTATTTTCACGAAGCGCTGTGATTGTTTGTTTGTTTGTTTGTTTGTGTAGTATTAATTATTCTTATTTTTTTTCTTCTTCTTCTTCTTCTTCTTCTTATTATTATTTCTTTCCCTTTCTTTCTCACTTGACGTTACTATCTGCCTTCATGCTGTACCGATGACAAAGTTGATATCTGTAATCAGAAGAAAATAATGTCAGTTAAAATCATAGAAATGAGAGATGAATAGAAATAAAACATTGATTTTGTTCATTCACATCTACCAACCAAAAATTTCGAATCATTTGTTGATGTAATATGACAAATCTTTAACAACAGATTTACGGACGTTTTGTACAATATTTTTTAATGATTTACAAACATTGTTTAAATGAAGGATTGAATAAAAGTTAGGAATTAATATTTAAATGTATTACATTACATTGTATTTAAATTTTATATATATATATATATATATATATATATGTATAAAAAAGATTTGAAATGCGTCAAATTGACTCAGTTCGTAAATCTAATGTTAATATATCGATTAATTTTCAATTGATTTATTGTTATTACATCAAACATTAAACAAATAATGTTTTAAAAAATTCAGGCTTCTTATGTCACCCAATTTTTAAGACAAAAATTAGAATTAATTTTATTATTACGACATCTTTGTGGCAACTTGAACAAGAAACATGGATGAAATATGCGAAATAAAATAATCTGTATACAAAAAAAAATTAAATTCAAGCATTTCTGGAATATGTCAGAGTGTCCTTAAAAATAAGGGTAGTTTTTTTTTTCGATGAAAGGGTAATTAGAAGAAAAATATTTATTTTATTGATTAAAATAATACTACAAAAACATTTAAAATTAATAACATATTACTAGTAAGAATTGTTGACAGAAAAATTTATAAAAATATAAAATAATTCCAAACTTTTGATTAGAAGTGTATACGAGTAATCAATTTTTCAAATCGATTTAATTTCACGATATAAAAATGAAAGAAAATTAATTAAGTGATAGAAGTATTATTGTCGTATTATTTATTAATGAACGATCATAATAAAAATTGTTTTTATTTAATAGTGATAAGTTTTAAATTATTCAATAGATTGATTTTAAATATAAAAAGTTAAATATTAACAAGATGATTTAAAAATAAAATTGGAAAAAATAAAATTAAAAAATGGAATTAAAAGATCTAAGCTTGTGTGAACGATTCATATATATATATATATATATATATATTTCATATTTCTATTATTTATAGATAAACAAGATTATTGTTTTTAAGAAATTTTAGCTGTAATAAGTCATTTATTAACCCATTTGCATCATTAACAAATAAATACGTTTAATTTTCTTGATCTTGATCTTGATTTATTTCATGATTTTATTTTATATTACATAAAATTAATCAATTTATCTATTACAAATTAATGAAATATATATCAAAATATATAAATAAATATATTATAATTTTATTGATTATTTTATTATATTATTTTATTTTATTTTAATTTATTTTTTTTTTTTTATTATTACATTATATTTTATTTTTATATTTTATTTATCTTACTAAATTTTATTTTTTTTTTATTTATTATATTAATATATTGTTTTATTATTTAATTATAATATACATTTAATTATAATAAATAAATTATTTATTTCAATATTTTCTTTTTTTATTATTCATTTAATTATGTCTTCTTAAATGTAATAAATAAAATATATATAAAAAAAAAAATAAAAAAAACAAATTGATGATAAAAGAAATAATTTTAATTCTTCGTTACAATGCAAATGAGATAATAATAATAAACACATATATAATTTAATTATAATAATATACATATATTTAGCGTAATATAAAAATAAATCACCTCCCCCCTTCTAATCTTTGTCGGAAATTTTTTTTCTAATTTCTTTGTTTTTCTATTTTTTCTATTCTTTTTTTTTTTTTTTACTATTTTTCTCGATCCTCATGTAAACGTGCAAGAACGACGAATTCGAATGAAATAGTTACTCGTGGTAGAGCCGGTAATCGTAGTTATCGGGAAATGGTAGTAGATGTGTAGTAACACCAACCAACCAACCAACCACCACCCCTGGGCTAGGTGTACCACTACCACCACTACCACCACTACCACCACTACCCAACTCCTAGTACGCCGATGGCGCTTTGATATTCGCCAGATTGAAAGTCAACGCCGATTGATTCGAACTTTACCGAATGAATATACACACACCACGTGAATCGTTCTTATTTTTTATATTCTCGGTAATTATAATGGACGTTGAGAGAATTCGTGAATGGTCAAAACCCCCATGCTTCATTTAGAGACAGTGTGAGAGAGACAGAAAGAGAAATAGAAATAGTATGTGTGTATCTATACGTTTATGTATATATATATATATGTTATTTATGTGTATGTATGTATGTATGAGAGAGAGTGAGAGAGTAGAAAAAGAAGAGAGAGATTTGAATAGAGGTTTTGAAAAGCGCTCTTTCAAGAAGCATTATCCATATTAAGCGAAAGTTCGTTCCACTCTGAAAAGAAACGCTCTACGAATCTTCAAGTTGACTCGCAATAGGAAAACTCGTGCGGAAACGTAAGAAGGTTTCTTCCCTGAGAAAGAAGAAAAAACAAGAAGAAGAAGAAGAAGAAGAAGAAATAAAAGAAAATATAGTTGAAGATTAATAATAATTTTGTTATTTACTTTGTCAAATGTGTTAAACGATCGTGAGAATATATACTACTCTCTTTATACGTGTATTTTAGGTACACGAGGATTTACGTTTAGGTTGGTACACCAACGTGAAATAACATGAAAATTCCTATAGTAAAATTAAAAATAATTGTATGTACAAATCAGAGTATCTCTTAAAATTTTACACCTTTATTTATATACGCTTACTAATAGTTTTTAACTTTGAAATATTAGAATTTAGAAATTAATATTTTTAATATATATTTTAATTAAGATTATTAATATTAATTATTAAATTATATATTAATAATAATATATTAATTAATTAATATCTTAATTATATATATATTTAATAAATTTATAACGCGTGAATGTTTTATTTATAAAATGTCAATTAAATAATAGTATCTTTAAATCATACACGTTGCTATAACAGACTTTCTTGTTCATGTCTAATTATTGACTATTCATTATTTGTCATTGTTATTTAAATGTTTTTTAATATTAGAATATCAGTTTAATACTTATTGAAGTATAAATAATATAAAATACATTTGTTTTGAAAAATTAGATCAATTTCTATCTGACATTTTATTGAATAAAATTGTTCAATTAACACTAATCACTAATTAAGAATGTTAAAACAAATATATTTTAATGTAAACGATATAAAATATTAATATAATATAAAATTGTATTCGATTTACCTTAATTGATAATTAAAATCGAAGGAAATATATATTTTAATCTAAAATCACGTAATATAAACTCGACGAACCTTCATTTACGAAATTCCCCGTTAGACTGGTTCGTTGTCCTTTATGAAAGTCAGTTAAAATTCATCTACTGATTTATTGTTTATATTACTTTTCGAAGGTTAGATATGTATGTATGTATGTATGTATGTATGTATATAACACATGTATCGTATAATTTATTCGAAACAAATAATATAGAATATATATATATATATATATATTATATGTTAATATTTTAGTATTTATCGATTTAGTATTTTTTTTCTTACATTTTATTATAAATATATTATAATAATATATAATATATAATATTGAATATAAAATATATATAAAAAAATAAATATATTATGACTATATATATATATATATATTTTATTATAAAAAATATATATATATATTTATATATTATATTAATTATAAATAAATAATATATTTATTATATATAGAATAATATTATATTATATATAATAATTTATAAATAACATAATATTTTATATATAATTATATAAATATCTATTTTTTATCATTAATTTAAATATAAATATATTATTTAATAATTAATTTAAAATTAATATTATATTATATTAATATTATATAATAAAAAATAAAATAACAAAATATATAAAATATAAAAATATATAAATAATAAGGAATATATATATATATATATATATATAAATACATATATATTCCTTATAAAATGAAAAATGCAAGTAAGCGTAACGGTGTACTATTTTAAAAGATACACTCAATGCATCTATCTTTAAATATAACTAAATCTGATATACACTTTCTAAACATGTATGCTGTTGTTTTTACCGTTTCCAAAGGAGAAAGAAAAGAAAGAGTTAAAAAGAGATATAAAAGGGTTAGGATGAGGAGGATGAAGGAAGAGGGAAGGTATTAACAAGAGAACCTTTCGTTCTAAGACCTCCATCTTCTTTATCTTTCTTTGCTTCGCGAACTTCGATCTATATTTAACATATGAACCCAGAAATGACTAACAAAAGGTATATATCGATTGAAAAGGTCGATCTCACACCAAGGTACCCTATTATCTCGTCGTATGAGCGTTCTCAGTACATACTATTTTACGCACTTTTTTATTTTTATTTTTACTTTTATTTTATTCCATCAAGCTGAACCATGTAACATGACCAAAGTATTAGCTGTTCCTTTCCGTTCCCCCCCCCCTCGTCACTCCTTTAATATTTTTATTAACAACTAATAATAGTAATGATTATCCTAATATAAAAAAATACAAATTTAAATTTATACTTACTAATAATATAAAAAATAAAATACAATAGTAATATAAATAAAAATATATATATAAATACAAATTTAATATACAAAAATACAAATTACATGATTCATATTGCGATATTAATGAAACGGAATATATTTTTTATTTCCTCTTTTATATATTTGTCTTTTTTTTTTTTTTTAAATGGTATTCATGTAAACACGTTGCGTTCCAAAAAGTGATTAAACTTATACGCAACGTGTTACCCCGTTGATCGACGTTAATTTCATCGATTAGTATCCTTGTCTATTACAATTATTCTCTTTCTCTTTATCTCTATCTTTCTCTCACTCTACATTAATTTCCATGGTTCTAAACAAAACGTTAAGAGGTGTCCACAAAATTTGTACGACGAAAGGTAGCCCTTTGTAGTATAAAACAAAAAACACAAATAAAAATACTAG